TGGGTTTTTTTAAAAATTAAAAAGTTAGTGCCACATTGGCAGAAGAATATTCAGGATTCACAGAATCCTTATGACAGTGGTGGCGAACCTATGGCACAGGTGCCAGAGGCGGCACTTGGAGCCCTCTCTGTGGGCATGCACGCTGTCACCCCAGTCCTAGGCCTTCAGCTGGGTTTTATAAAACCTTTTCGCTTTAGGCCTCTGCCACCATGTGCAAAAAAAAAAAAGGTTCAATCAGTCAATTTCAACTTCTCGTGGGAAAAAAAAAGATCTTGCAAAGTTGGAATTGATTGATTGAACTTTTTAGTCCCACCCAGTCTGCCGTTACCACCGCAGCCACGCCCAGCCAATGGGCCATGCCCACCCAACGGGCCACGCCCACCCGGCACCCGACGATGCATAAGTGGGTTTTGGGTTGCAGTTTGGGCACTCGGTCTCTAAAAGGTTCACCATCACTGCCTTATGAGAAGAATTCTTCCTTCCCTAATACAATTCTCCTAGAAATCAGACTTGTTTAGCAATTGATCTTAATTGAATAATCAAAATATCTTGTCAATCCCCAACTTAACAGAATAACAAAATAACAGAGTTGGAAGGGACCTTGGAGGTCTTCTAGTCCAATCCCCTTTTCAAGCAGGAGACCCTCTACCATTTCAGACAAAGTGTTGTCCAATCTTTCTTAAAAACCTCCAGTGTTGGAGCACCCACAATTTCTGGAGTCAAAGTCATTCTATTGATTAATTGTTCTGTCAGGAAATTTGTCCTTAGTTCTAGGTTGCTTCTCTCCTTGATTAGTTTCCATCCGTTGCTTCTTGTCCTGCCTTCAGGTGCTTTGGAGAATAGCTTGACTCCCTCTTCTTTGTGGCAACCCCTGAGAAATTGGAACACTGCTATCATGTCATCCCTCGTCCTTCTTTGTATTAAATTAGACATACCCAATTCCAGCAACTCTTCCTTATATATTTTAGCTTCCAGTCCCCTAATCAGCTTTGTTGCTTTTCTCTGCACACTTTCCAAAGTCAAAATGTCTTTTTTTTATATTATGGTGACCAAAATTGGATCCAATATTCCAAATCTAATCTTATCAAGGCCTTATAAAGTGGTACTAACACTTCACCTGATCTTAGATTCATCTGTTCCAACATGGAGGTATCTGCAGGGTGGGGCAGTTAACCCTTGTCTTCAGAGTTATAGTTCTCTAAGCATCCCTAATGCAAGAAAATGGAGCAATAGAGAATCAGAATCTGAAAAAGAGAACCCCCCCAAATAGATTTGGGTCTTAGGCCTGCAGTACATGGAAAATCATTACTTCATGTACAGCTAGCTAGACTGGGAGAATACTCAGTGCAGAGATGCAATTCTCCTTAAAGCCAAATTGGTTAATGAAAAATTAGTTCCAGAAAAGCCAAATCAAACAAGGAGCAGATGGAAGGATTCAGTGTGATGAAACTGAATATTTTCCACTTGGTAGTCACAGTCCTACATTTGGATACTCTGAAAGGAAGTGCAAGTTAGCCCTGACTGAATTGTATTTAACTTGGCAACTAAACTGACTCTTTTGGTAAACACCACACCTTTTAATGTATATTTTTCCTATCTTGTTCATTTGGTATTTTCAATAGAGAATACATTTTTTTTAGTTTAAAAAAAAAGGTTGATCCACATATTCTCTGCTAAGTTTGGTTTACTGTATAAATGACTAAAAATATACTAAAACATGTCAATGGATATTTGATGGGACTAGTCATTTTTGTTTCTGTGGAAAATGTGCCCATAAACTCGGCTTTAATATTTTTTTATTATCTTTGAACTTCAATATCCAGTATTCTTTTGCCAGCCAATACAGGCAAAACCAGAGATGGAGTTCCATGTATCCTTCATTGAGCATGTGGAAAAGAGTTGGACTATACCTCCAAAGAATAATAACAGATTATAAAAATAGTTATTAAAACCACAAACTTTGTGCTGCAAAATAGACATACATGCTTCTTGTGTGTTAATCCTGAGATGAATTCCTTTAGCACTGATCCACCAATGTTATAATCTGAACATCTGCTATAACATTAGGAGCATTAGGTGTTTTAAATTGCTTTTCAAGAAAAGCAAAAAAGGCACCTATTTTTAAGGTTGATACAGTTCAAGATTTTGGAATTTTAATACACATAAGTAACTGAAAATAAGATAAAAAAAATGCTGTCTTTCAAAAAAAAAAAGAGTAATCCAAAAGTAAAGTAGACAAAAGGACAGGAGATGTCCAACAGCGAACAAAAGACAGTGAGAGAATGAACGGAACACAAAATCACCTGTCCTCAAGGAAATTCAAAACAGAAAAGCTCTATTCCTATTTTGACTTGACATTAAGAAATTTATGCACAACCTGGAATTTGCCTAAGTTAGAAATACAGCATTTAGGATACATGGAGAATCTGTGTAGACCCAGGCAACAAACTGACTGGAGGCAGCCTGATAAACCAAGGCTGGGTAATGTGTCTTTTTCTTTTGGGATGGGTTGAGGGAAGTCAGATTGAACAGGACAGAAAGAGCGATTTTGAGTTGCCAAGGGAGTCAGCTCTTCCAGATGAGATCACTGTCAGGGATGATCAATGTACTGACCTACTTAATTTGACAGTGCCTCTTTATCTATCAGAAAATGGTGGCTGATGCTGGTATAATAAATATGCATGACTTCCCCAACAATTTCTTCCCATGTGGGAAGACTGACTATGCCTTTTAGTACAGTAACTGCCTAATCTTAGGAAGACATGACTTTTACAGGGCACATTTTGTACTCTGCAGCCATCTAGCGGACATGGTATTCAATCACAACAGTTCTCTGCCAGGAAAATGAACACTGATAGCAGCACCATAGATGGCATTGTACGGCATTTGGTGACTCTTGTTGAAGTCATTTGTAGCATAAAGTTTAAACCACACTGACCTCCTCTGTTTGCCAGCTGATCAATATTTTCTTACCATTCTCTGAGTAGTTCACAAAGGTAACATAACAGTCCAGTGTATAGGAAATTAACATGGTTAAAACTACAAAATAATCTCAATGTCATACTTCACTTTTTTTTAAAAAAACGAGTGGATAAAATGTGGTGTGGGAAAGACCAAAAGATAGGGCAGCAGGCAAAGTTTTTTGGCTGTGTTAGGTGGCTATAAAACTGGGATAGACAGACAGACAGATAATAAAGTTGTTTTGCGATTGTATTTTCTTAACTATATAAATGGTTCCATATAACAACTATACAATAGTGTAAATGGGAGATAATCAGTAAATATAATCAGTAATTGCAATCAAGCCATTTCCATCCAAATCATGTTATAGTTGATGTATGCCTCTCTGTGGAAGCAGAGCTACAGAGTATAAGCTTGACATCTGAGGAAGAAAAAGTTTCTACTACAACCAGAGGTCTGGAAAGGCCATAGTCCTACAAAGTCATGTTCCCTCCGGTTTATTATGTGGAAAACAATATTTTTAATTTAGTCTTTAAATCTATCTCTATATTGCTTATTATATGACTGCATCTCAAACTAGTTTACTATACAATAAAATGGTTACATAAAATATTAAAACTATATATTAAAACCACATTCATTTAAAAGATGGGAAAACAAGTAATACATCCAATATTACTACCTAAATATTATTAATGGAAAGCCTGGATAACATGGTAAGTTATTGTGTTGTGGGTTTTGTTTTTGTTTTGTAATGGATGACAGCAGTGAGGCAGACCTTTATTCTAAAAAGGCTTTACAAGTGTATACAAAATATTCTAGATCAGGGTGTCCAACCTTGGCAACTTTAAGAACTATGGACTTCAACTCCCAAAATTCCCCAGCCAGACAATTCTCCAAGCTGGCTGGGGAATTCTGGGGGTTAGGTCCACAAATCTTAAAGTTGCGAAGGCTGGACACTAGAAATTCCCCCTCTAAGGACAGTGGTTTCCTATTTGTATCACTTTGCTGTGTGTTTCTAAGGGTTTGTTCTTTTTCTATATTATATTAACTCAATTATTTTAAGCCTAAACAATAACTTCTTCACTTCACCCTTCCTCTTCTCAATCCTCAATTATTTGTTGCTGGTGAACACTTTCTTAACTGTTATTACAACATATACAACTGTAGCTACCAGTGCTAGATACATTTTATCTCTCAGATTTTGGTTGTTTTTACTATCCCTCCTCCCTCTTTCCTCAGTCTTGCTTCTCCCAATTTCTTCCTTCAGGCATTTGAGTTGGCTGCTCATAATAGAATTATTCCTTCTTCCATTGATGAAATGTCACCTCTCAACCTTGACAATGTGCCAACAGGCCCTATGGGAATTTTCTTTTGGGTGAATGTACAAATGTCTCCTGACGGCTGCCTATTTCTTGCCCTGGGTCTTTATAGGTTCTACAGTTACTTTTTTCTGACCCTGGCAGCCATCACCACTCTGAACCCAGGGTCTGTCAATCTACAGATTCTATCTTCTCAGGATTCAACTTCTGTTTATTGGCTGAAATTGTCTCATTACTGCAACCAGTCATTGGTTTCCAATAGGTAAATAGGATCCTCTGATCCAGATTCTACAGAGAAGCCCTAAAACTCCTGATGATTGCTCCCAGGAGTTTTATATAGTTCTAAATTGGACTGTATGTATATAAGCTGACCAACTTTTTTACAATGAAAAGGAGGACACAAATAAATTGAAGAAAAAAAATATCGTAAATAAAAGAAACATTTTATTCATTGCAACAATAATACAGACAACTTGCATGTGCAAAGTTTGCCAGCCGGGTGTTTTGGCGCGCTCAGCAGCAATTCCTATTGACTTTCAAAAGCCAATAGTGGGAGTTGCACAGCTCATGCAAAAGTTGAAAAAAAAAACCCATCAAAAAAAGGTGCCGGAACATCATTCTGAGCATTCTATGAGGGAAAAAAAAGCCCTGCAGATTAGTCTTCAAATATCAAAAAGGAGGACATGAAGGAGGACACTTTTTGAGGGAGGACAGAACTTACAAAAGGACTGTCCTCCCTAAAGGAGGACGGTTGGTCACCTTAAGGTATAGATTAGTGCCTTGCAGCAATTGGAATCAGCAAGGTGAAGAGATCAGTTATCCATTGCTATTCTCTAAGATCACAGGCCCAAATAGGAGTACACTACAAAACCCCATTCAAGGAAATGGTCTAGAATACTATTTGATTATATAGCAATCTTCCTCAAATTGATACCATCTTTTGTGTTAGACCCAAGCTCTTATTTCCTCCGACCCTTTGGCATGGGCTGTTTGCATAAGACAGTCAATTCATACCCAGGGGATGAAAGGGGCTCCAAACGAAACAAGGCTCATCTCCCCAGTTTTAGATTTTACGATCTTCAAAGCAGCAAAACAAATCAGTTAAAATTGAATTCCCAGAGGTTTAATACTTTTGAGTTCCCACCAGCTCAATTACCAGATATTGATTTTAAGGTGCCAATTAAAACATGGAGGAAAATTATATTGACGTAAGAATCAATGTTATTTCCGTTGGTTTTTTTTTTTTTTTTTTTTGCAGAGTCTTGAAAAAAGGCTCTTGGCTTGCTTGTAGATAAGCAGGCTAAGACTGCAGGTTGCAGCAAATCATCGCTCTCACAATGCAACCGGCCATCTTGCTCCTCATCGTTGCTCTCTAGATACCAAAGACAAAAAGAGCGAACGGGGAATGCTGAGGTGCCGCTCCTGCACGGAGCGAAAGAACAGCCACCGCGATTCACTCCGTTTCTACTCGAATAAACCTGCCGCTGAAAGCCCGCAGGTCAGAGCAGGAAAACGCCACGCCCTCAGCGAAGAAGGGCGGGGTCGCGGCTTATTGGGCCGGAGCCGGAAACGTGACAGGCTGGCTGATGCCGCGCAAGGAGGCGGGCGATGTTTGCTCTGTTGCAGGTCGGTGTGTTTGTTTGTCTCGCGTTGTTAGTTAAAGGCTGTTAGCGGCGATCGCCGGCACAAATGCTTGTTTCTGCTCTTAAAACTCTTCTTGTCGGGGAGAAGGAATGCTGGCCTGGGCTCATGCCCTGAGAATTTGAAAAGGCCCTGGTGCTGCGTGCCGGACTGAATTACAAAGAAACATCGTGAAAAATACATGGTTTCTCTGCAGGGGCAAAAAATTCACGAAAAATCTCGGAGTGCTGCACACATTATAGCGGCATCAGCTTCTGTAAACAAGAGTCTGCCCGCTATTTCCTGAATCAAAATAAATGTGCTTAATTTTTGTCGTTCTGTCGCTAAGTTGTGGTCCGACTCTTTGTGACCCCATGGACTATAAAGCACATCAGCCCTCTTCTTCCCCTCCCGTCTTCCACTGTTTCCCGGCTTTTGCACAAATTCAGGTTCATTGCGCTGATGATCCTATCTAGCCATCTCATGCTCTGCCGCTCCCCTTTTCCTTTTGCCTTCAGTCGGTCCCCAACATCAGGGTCTTTTCTAGCGAGTCCTTTCGTCTCATTAGGTGGCCAATATTTGAGCTTCAGCCTTAGTAGCTGTCTTTCCAAAAAGACAGCTCCTTGCAGTCCAAAGGACTTTTGAGAGTCTTCTCCAGCACCACCATTAGAAAGCAAAATGTGCTTAATGCAAGGTTGTGTTCACCTCCCCCCCCCACTTTACATTTCAGAGAACTGGGGAGGGTCATTTCAGAAATTCTTTCTCTTATCCCCATCCCTCCTGCTTTGGATTCAGATTTCTCTTACTGTATAACATATTGCTGTCTAGGCTATCTGTAGGTCTTCCTCCTGTCTCTGAAGGTTATTCTCACAGACATTACATTGTCTCATACTGCTATCTGTGGCCTGTGGCCCATTAGTCCAATCTGAACACCACACAATCTTATTTCTCAATATGATCTTTGAGAAGAAAAGGTTTCTTCCCTACCTACTATTTACATACACGAAGAGGTAAGCTTTGCTGAATTCAGTGAACAAATTGAACATATTCTGAGCTATATTGGTGGGTTCGGATTACAAGCTAAGAACAGACACAGCAGAAGGAATCAGCTTAATTCAGAATCAATCCAGACAATTGTTTGATTAAGCTGTTAAAAGATCTAAGGGCAAACTGTTTTATAAATGTTTCAGATGGATTTTTCAGGGGAACCCCCCCCCGAAGATTTGTCTTCAGATTGCAGTGAATGGTTAAGGAGGAAATAATTATAAGTGGTTGCTATTAGATCTTTGTGTTATAGAAGAAGCCTATGCATTTATTGATTGATTGATTGCATTTTGGTTCCACCATTATTCTACAGAAAATTTTTCCAGAAGGAAAAGAGGAAGAGAAGAATGAAAGATGGAGAAATTTACAGAGATCCTGCTGTTAGTTTCTTGTAATTTTTTTTAAAGCTAAACAGTTCACACATTGACTTTTCGTGGAAGCAAATTCTTTCAAAAATATTAAATAGGCTTGTGCGTTTAACACCTATTAGTGGTTTGATAACCATGTAACAGGTACATATTTAGTCAAAATTTGTTGAACAGCAATCGGTTGAATTTAGAAGAGTTTACTCTCAGGGAAGTGGGTATCAGATTACAGACTAACAATGTTTCCATTTTAATATTGTTTTTAATTACATAGTTAAGTATAGGGATATGGAACCTATGACCTTCCTGATGTGGCTTAAATAATAGTTGCCTCAACCAACATAATCAGTGATAAAAGATGCTCAGGGCTGAAGTCTGCCATGCTTCCCCATCCCTACCACAGGCCTCATTGCCTAGTTGTGATTCAGCAGCCAGGAACATACTATTATACCTTTCTGTGCTCCCCCCCATATTTTTTTCACTCAGAAATTTCATCTTTCTTGAGAGCCTAATGGCAAAGGCACTAAACTAAAAACCAGGAGACTGTGAGTTCTAGTCCCACCTCAGGCATGTAAGCTAGCTGGGTGACTTTGGACCACTTACTCTCTCTCAGCCCACACACCAGGCAACAAACCAGCCAATCAATTTCTGTTCCAAGCAATGGATCAACACTCCCCCCCCCCAAAAAAAGTGGACCCTGCACTTGCAGGAAAATGTTAGAAAGAAAAAATAATAATACATTTCCTCTGTCTTCACTGGGGAAAATAATTTCTTAGCTGTATTTCAGAAACAAGCTGCTCTATATCTAATCAGACCACAATTCTACCTTCTTCATTAATTGTGTCATGTTGATTTCCACCATTCCAGAAAGTTCTAGGAAAGATCACATTGTTTTGCTTCTACTTTGTGCATTTCAGGAATGAAAAAAGCTGAAGAAAGTTTTGGAGGAGGGAGCCTGATTTTGGCTTGGGATTTAGTTTGAAAAACAAAGTCTTTACTTATATTTTGTAGATATTTTGTCTATCTAGCTATCATCTATCTGTGTTAATAGATGTATATGGCTTCTATTTTTACTTGCAATATCTCTTCTTATATTCTTAGGAACCCAAACGGTAAGCCTAAGCTCTTCCTCTTCCATCTTCTGTTGTCTGCAAAATAAAGAAAAGGAGAAAAAGTTTCCAAAAATGAAATTTGAAATACTTCCTTTCTGTGGTCCTGTCTGACATTTCTATGTGGGACTAACAAAACACTAAAAATACTATCTCATTATTTTTAGGTGTATTGCTAGGATGTCCTCCTAAGTGTTGAGAAGCCTAAAAATGTTCTTCCAATCGGAGACTTTGCCTAGATGGGAATTGTATCTTTACTTATTTCTTTCTTTTGGCTCCCATTTTTATTCTTTCTATGAAGTCTTCCAAGCTTCTCAAGGTAAGTCTCAACTTCATGCCCATTATCTTTAGGTATTATTTTTTTCTTTTTGTATTTCCTAGTAAATTGAAATAAAAAATAGAAAATATATAGCTGCTTTCCTACAATCCCAAGCAGAGTGTTGCATTGAATCATTTTGCTTGTGTGCATGTTTCTTAGAATAGCGAGTAGATATAAGATACTTTGTAATTCATACAACAGCAAAGGAAAGCAACATAAAATAATCTGTATAAAAATAAATGGATTTGTGATTAATGTGTAGGCTAGCATATCTGGTGCTAAGATATCTTTTTTTATGCTTTGTTTCGTTCAGTTGATTATGTGCCATCAAGTTGTCTTCATTCTTAGCAGCTATATATCTGGGAAAATGTCATCTATTGTGGTGCTCATTGGCAACAGTGAGGTGCAAAAATATGTGAGGTTTTGGAAGCCAATTTACATAATGAATCTAGAACTTATGTATTAACTTTCTCTAAAAAGACTAAAAATTGAAAACTTTTTAAAAATTGCTTGTGCAATAACTTCTACTTGCTATATAGTACATTTTCCCCAAATTGAGTTTTAACTCAACTCTCCAGCTAACATGCCTGTTTCTGAAACTTCCAGAAATTGGTTCACGTTGGAGATCACCCACTTTGAAAAGGTTTAGATAACATAAGAAGTATCTGCCATGGCATCATATAATTCACAATATACCTAGCTATTTCAATAACATCTGCACTACTGGAAGATCCTCTTTGCATAACCTGTGATAGGTTTGAATAGCTGCATGCTGTAAATTTTCCTTTTACCCACAGCCCTTTTCCTGGAATGTAAGAGACCCAGAGATCATATTTCAAAACAGATTTGTTGAAAATGCTATGTAATTTTCTGCCAATGTTCAGTGAAAAAACAAGAAAAGTGTGCGAGGCTTGGATTGGCTCAATGCACCTAAAACACTTGTTCCCTCAGTTGAGAAAATAGAAAGAAGTAGAAAATTATTTCCTCAGATAGCAGTCACTATGCCAGGGGTTTCAAGCTTGACAACTTTAAGACTTGTGGACTTCATCTCCCAGAATTCCTCAGCCAGTTGTCTGAAGAATTATGGATAGATGAAGTCCACAAGTCTTAAAGTTGCCAAGTTTGGAGACCCCTGCACTATGCTACTGCCCTGTGCCTTAAGGCTTTGGTTGCTACAGAACAGGGGTATCAAACTCAATTTCATTGAGGGCCGCATCAGCATTGCGGTTGCCCTTGGGGGGCTGGGTGGGTGTGGCCAGGGTGGGTGCAGCCTACTGGGTGGGCGTGGATAGAGTGGGTGTGGCCTACTGGGTGGGCGTGGCCAGCTCTATATCATTTGTATCAAGGGTGCCTATGGGGGCCTGGGCAGGACTGGGACAGATCTGAGGGTCTCTGGCAGAAGGGGGTGGAACCAGGGCAAGTGTCAAGGCATGGTCCACTGGAGAAACCGCAATGTTCCTCTCAGGCCATGTGGGGGGGGGGCTGGATGGTGGTACGGGCTGCCCAGAGCTCTGAGCAGCAGAGGTCAAATGCCCAGCCTGGCCCTCGAGCACCTGCACACCAAGCCCAGCCCCACTTCCCAAGGGGGTGCGCAGCTGCACTTACCTCCTCCTCAAGGCTACTGCAGCTGTGCTTGCTCTCCTTAGCCAGATTGCTCATGATGGGTACGAGGGCAAAGTCAGAGGAGGTCCATTCCCTCTCCATGGGAGGGCCAAGGCAGCGGGGGCCGTTCCCTCACTGTTCCAGGATGGCTTTGCGGGCCACATGAAACCACTTCACGGGCCGCATCCGGCCTCCGGGCCTTGTGGTTGACATGTCTGCTATAGAACAAAATAAAAATTTGCATCCTTCTATATAGTGATTAAGCACATATATTGTCACTTACCAGTTCAATAACATGAGGTATATGCTAATTCTTTAATCTATATGTTTAATTTTCGCCTCTTTTGGGTGGTTTTTTTAGAGTTGGAATTAAGTGACTCAATGTGCCTGGAATAATCTTAGTTGTATTTGATATGTACACAAATAAATGTTATATGTATCTGATGTATTATTGCTTAGGGTATGGGCTGGTTACTTCAATCCACCTCACAAAGCTGTGATAGTAGGGAAAATAGAAGGAGGGAGTGTTATGTATGCCACCCTGAAAAAAGCTATGGTAGTATCCAATAAATAGAATTACTACTATAAAATAGTTCCTGCTATTCTTTATTTTTTCCACTAGGGGGAGATAGCATAACAGTTTTTAGAATGTTGAAATAATAACTAATGTATCCAAGTAATAAGGTGGTTTATATAAACAATTATCATTAGGATGTTAGATGTTTTAACCTCTAACATTTCAAATTATTTTGGTCTCTAGGTTTTGAACTGACACTCTATTTTATGTATAGAAAACAAAATAAAGGTACTGAGAAGAATATCTTTCATTATTTCAATATCCTTGTATTTCAACTGAGAACTCAGTCATCACAAGAAATGTATATTTTATGGGAACAGATTAAATCTAAGCCTGGTTTTCAGTAATCTGAAACTCCACATAAGTGTTCAACAATAATATTTTAGCATAAAGGATTCTATTATTGCTGCTGTTTTGAAAATGATCAGGTGTGGACTTTGATAATAGCAATGCAATTTTGTTCCATGATAGTTCACAATGTCAAATGGAAAGCTGAGCTTTCCAGAAGCTCAGTTCAAGAATGTACTAAATGGACAGTATAAGTAGCTTCTTGAAAAATATGCTTAGAAGACAGTAGAAAATACTAAAATAAACAGTCAATATGTATAATAGTAGGATTTTGTCTCAGAAGCACAATGGAAAGGTGTTAAAATGGAAAAGACAAAATAGAATGAGAAGAGAGCATTAACAGAACATCTATGAGTCATTTGGATCAAAATACTACCGTAATTGTAATAGGAAACTTGAGTATCCCCTTGAAATATAGTACATTTGGAGAATGGTTTAATTTAACAGATAGACATTAGTTGTTTCTTTCCTCGGCTTATCTAGGGTTGATGGTATCCATGAAATGTCATAAATGCCTATTTTTATGATTCATCAGATATTTATGTTCATTTTTTCCCATTGTTCTGTTTGTGAGGGCATTGCCTTCAAAACAAATCCTTCTGTATAACCTGTATGAACATATCTGAGGTGGCAACAGAAACTATACAGAGAGGTTTTCAAAAAACATTTGCCCCAGTACTGCAGATTAGAAATATTAGATTTGACAGGAAAAAAATGATTTGGAAGATGGGTGGTGCCAGTGTACTATCTCTTGGCACTCATTAATCAAATGAGACTGCAGCTCTATAGACCTAGTGCAAAATCCAAATTTCTAGATTAGATACTAGGATGGGCACTCTTTAGTATAATTATTTACATCCTGAGTTAGACACAAGAAAGCACACTTAGTTTTGGAGGAGTTTTTTTTCATTCAAGCTTTATACAGATCAGCCAACATCTACACACAGTTTAGAAAATTATCAGCAGTTTTGATGGAATTTTAAGGAAAGTCATCTCCCTCTCTGTCATACTGAATAAAAAAATTGATAGGTCAGTGTTTTGTAAGATGAAATGGTTTTTTAATCTTTATTTGACTTTATGTGCTTCTATCCCACTCATTTTCCTGATGATGATTTAGTTGACTTAACACCCTGCTTGCAATTTGTTAGGAATGGCTACCAGAGAAATGTACAATTAACAATTAAAGTCAGACAAAGAGACATGTAATTAGAGACACTGATGCCTAGTGATTGGTAATACGAACTTGATTTTCAGCTCTCTTCTCTGCTGGATAACCAGGCTAAGAAAAAAAAAAAAAAAAAAAAAAAGGAAAGGAAAGGAAAAATATTCTCAGAGAAGATGATGTCTTATCTCAGAAATTTATTTTGAACATCAAAAAATAAGAGGAAAAACTCATTTCTTGAAGAGATGAATTTCTTCAGCTAGATATTAAGAATCTCCTACAAAAACCAAGGGTGATAAATCAAAAGTTTAGCTCCTCATTTTGAAAGCTGCTTTCCTTCTAAGCTTTGCTCAGCTGATGGCTTGAACTTTTGAGGCATTTTCTCTTGCCAGGCTTAAAAATGGAAATTGACTTCTGTTAAGGAGTAATTGTTGGAGAGAATCTATTTTATATCCAAAACGTTAGGCATAGGAAATATTTTTTTCTAGCTGTCTTAGTATTTAGTGGTCAGTAAGGCAATATAAATGTGCATATCCACTTATTAGAACTATTGATCAATTAAGCAATTATTAGCTGATATGCACCACGTAAGGGAGAAATAAATAAAATGAAATGTAATAAGTTGCCATGATAGTGCAGTACAAGTAGTCCTTGACTTACAACAATTCATTTAGTGACCATTCAAAGTACAATGGCACTGGAAAAAGTGACTTATGTCCATTTTTCACATGACCATTTCATCATCCCCATGGTCACGTGATCAAAATTTGGGTGCTTGGCAACTGACTCATATTTATGACCGTTGCTATGTCCTGGGGTCATGCGATAAACTTTTGTGACCTTTTGACAAGCAAAGTCAGTGGGGAAGCCATATTCACTTAATATCTGTGTACTAATTTAACAACTGCAGTGATTCACTTAACAACTGTGGCAAGAAAGGTTGTAAAATGGGACAAAATTCACTTAACAAACGTCTCACTTAGCAACAGAAATTTTTGGCTCAATTGTGGTCATAAGTCAAGGAATACCTGTATTACAGACAAATACTGCTATACTGCCCCTCTGCCCATAGCCTGGAGTTTGATCCTGACAGGGCTCAAGGTTGACTCAGCCTTCCCTCCTTCTGAGGACCCAGATTGTAGGGGACAATAGGTGAATAATGCTTCTACACTTGTAAACTGCCCAGAGAGTGCTGTAAAGCACTATGAGGTGATATATAAGTCTAAATGTTATTGCTATTGCTAGAAACAATATTACAAGATATTGTACTTCAGACTCTCATCTTTTCTTTTTAACTATTTCTTTTGCTTAATACTGTTAATATTGAGCCCACATGCAACTGATATCCACTGTTCTTAGAACAGTCCTGATGTCATTTAAAAAAAGTCTCATATTATAGTATTGCTGCTATATGCAAATTTTTAAAGGTAGAACATTTTGAGAGAGATGGATAACTTGCTTGCTTTAGGAGGCCTACAGAAGGTGGAGTTTTAGTAACTGAGTTGTGAACATAGACAAAATTATAATTATTTTTATTCAGATTTTCCCTTCTCTGCAAATCGGAAACTGCATGTTTTATTTTTGTTCTTTTTTATGTGACAAGTTGATCAAATTTGACAGGTTGTGAGGGTCATGTATCTTATCTAACAACTGACATTTCCTAATATATTAATATATTCTGTAATAGCTCTTACTTTCCTTAGAAAAGAGTCTCACAGGCCTTAGTAGGCTTTCATTCTAATAATACTACATGGAATTTAGTTTTTCTTATGTGTCCTCTTTGTAGGAGAACTGATGGTATTGTGCTATTGCTGTTTAACTAAAGATTTCTTATTTGTGCAGAGTACGAAGAGGAACTTGATAGAAAATTTGAACTGGAGAAAAATGTACTGGGGTTGAGAAAGGTAAGGTCAATGAGATTCCTTAATAGTTTAAAGTGCATTGAAATGTGATTGAGACTGAATGACAATAAGCGGTGCTGAGTTTTGAGGCCTAATGTATTAAATTATATTCAAGATGAGGGTAGAGCATTTGGATACAAATTATGATAAAACCTGTGTCCATCCCATGCGAAACAGGTTGTCAAATTGTCATGATACGATTTGTCAATTAAAATGGCCTGTAGTACTTAAAAGAGAAATAGAATTAGCATAATGTTAAATTTTGAATATTGTTTGCTGTACACCCTTGAGTGTGGTGCTGTCTGAAGGGTGGGTCAAAAGAGGCAACAGTGTGGTTACAGCATCACAAATGAAGCCCTTCCCCTTTATATATGTATGCATCATTGATGCATAATCAGTATGGGCAGCTTGTTTGGATTCCCACTGTGGGTACTAAGCTTGAGTGTGCAAATAACTGCAGTTTAGCTGGCACACTCACCTTTCAATGCATACTATTTCTTAATAATATAAGTTAAAATTGCTTGGAAACAATAACTAAAATTATTTTTATTGGGGGTACCACAAATATTAAATATTACTCGGCAAAAAAGTTTCAGATTCCATTTCTTTTACAATGTGTTACCTTATAGCTAAAAACATACCCAGATATGTTTTCAGATATTTTTTTTCAGATATAAGTATGTTTTCAGATACAAGAGTATTTGGAATACTTGAGGGATGGAAGAATGAAAAAGGAGGCAATTCTAGGTTTAGGTGCAGATGTCAATCAGATCCAACCTCTATTTAATTCTTTCTGCAAACAATAGCTTCAGCTAAAATTTCTTCCAGTCAGCACCTTCTATAATTTCAGTTGTGCTGAGCTGAGCTAAGTTTCATTTTTATAAATTAGTTTCATTTGGAATACTTAGAAGACTTTTTTTGGCATGGCACTTGGAAGCTGAATAGTAGCCTGTCAGTTCTAATATAGTGTACATTGTAGAATGTAATTAGGGTTCTTGCATCATGCAGCTCCTGAGATGCACAATTAAAAAAGTGAGTGGCTTTCTGGGTACCAGATCATAGCCCTTCTCTTTATAAAGTACCTAAGTCAAACAACTGACTTCTATTCAGTAGAGTAGGGGTATCAAACATGCAACGTCATGTGATGTGTCGTTACATATCGTGACTTTTTTTCCATTGCCAGCAATGGGGTGGATGTGGTTTAGGCATGATGCATCTGGCCTATGGGCCGGCAGTTTGAAACCTCTGCAGTAAAGGGATAGAAGTCTATAATTCTTTCTTCTGTGTTCCCACATCCTCCTTCAAACAACTTGTCCACCATACTTTTTAAAAGTCACCCTTGAATGTACTGTATATATACAATAGTTTGTAGAAAGATATGTAATAATAAGACCGAAGTTCTTTGCCAAGAAACCTGAAAATCTTGGGGACAAAGTTTAATTCTAAGCTTTTAATGTAAATAAAATTTGACAATTTTTGGATGATAGCTATGAGAGTTTGCCTTTAGAGACATTACTCCTTCACAACTGTTAATATTCCTGCGCTGTAGGTATGTTACATTTTAAGCAGCTTATTTATGTCAATTTATATGGCTGTAATTCTGGATGACTAACAAACTATTAAAACTACTATAGCAGTCAAAATACCAAGGTGAGTCAACCAGATCGGTCTGACCAGGGGAAAAAAAAACAACTTTCTATATATTCCCTTGGCTCGGCTGACAAAAGAGGGGAGGAGAGCTGGTGGCCTGGAGATTAATACAATTGCCTAGTATGCAGGTTGCCCTGGTTCGAATCCCATAAAGGCTATGGGTAGCTGATGAGAGCTAATAAGCTTGAAATAGCTATTCTAGTCTCCCATTTAACTCTTTAACTCTTTGTCAACAAAAAAGAAATTCGAATTTGTAATGTATTGCAGTAGCGACTTGAGCCTGCTTAACCCCCCTAGTTTGGGGGGGGGCTGCAAGGCAAAACTGATTATAACAGTAGAATTGCAGTATAGCAGTCAAAATACCAAGGTACATCAACCAGACTGGTCTGACTGGAAAAAAAAACTTTTTATATATATGTTTATTTTATTTATGAAATTTTTACACCACCCATCTGACTTAAGTGATTGTTACACACACACATACACACACAGTACATTTCCCAGCCAACTAAGCACAAATTGGCTCCTAAAACCAGCAGAATGGCTCTGTTATTCTTTTGACCCCTATCTCTGTGGAAACAGTCAGGTATTTAAGGCTTTTTAATCAGGGCCATCCATTCCTTGAATGTGTCAGAAACCAGGCACCATAATGGAGAAGGCATGCTTTCTAGGTCCTGATAGATGACAGTCCCTAATTGATGGGATGTGAAATAGGCTCCTCCTGCCTGATCTAACAGGACGATGGGAGTAATGTGGTCTTTCAAATACCCTGGCCCATTCTATATAAGGTTTCACAGGTAACAACCAGTGCTTTGAATTGCACCAACAGGAAATTGGGAGTCAGTGGAGCTTGTAGAGCAAAGGTATAACATGGTACAACAAATCACATCTATAACTACCCAGGTTGCTGCATTCTGAACTAATTGAAGCTTCTGGATGCTCTTCATGGACAGCTCTATGTAAAGCACATTGCAGTAATCCACTTTTGATCATAACCAAAGCCCTGTGTCCTGATCCAGGCAGGGGTGCACTTAATGCACATGAAGGTTCTTCAAAGGCTCCCCTAGAATGGCTGTGACCTGCTCTTTGAACAGGAGTCATGAATCAAGAAGAACCCCCAAGTTACATACTGATTTTATCTGGAGTAGGGCAACTCCATGAAGAATAAATGACTGAAAATTACCAGATCCAGGAGGCCATACTATCCAAAGCCACTCTGACTTGCTAGGGCTGAGTTGAAGCCTGTTTTCCATTGGGATGTCTACAGCTTTCAGGTACTGAGATAGAACCTACAATATTGTTTGGCCACCCAGGAGCAGAGATACAACTGAATATCATCAGCATAATAATACTGTACCTCACCCCGTGCCATTGAAATGACCTGGCTTAGCAGCTTCATATAAATGTTGAATAGGAGTGGGGAGAGAATCAAGCCTGGAGGGGCAAAAAGAGCTGTGGGGCAAAATTTCCTCCTTCCTCAATACAGCTTGGAGTCCACGCAGGACAAAGGAAAAGAGCTAGTATAACATTGTGTCTCCACCTCTTACTTCCTGGAGGCATCAGCAACTTAACAGTCAATGACATTGAAGGCTGCTGAGAGATCAAGGAGAGCACGAATGGATGTGCTGTCCCTGTCCAGCTCCCTCTAGAGATTGTCTAAAGTGCACATTTCAGTTCCCTATCCCAGACTGAAACCCAATTGGAAGGGTTTCCAATAATCCACTTCATCTAGGGCCCTCTGAGCTGCAAGGCAATCACTACACGACTACAGTTACCATAAAACTGTTAAACAGACTGTAAAGTCATTTGAGGTATTTATCCCTCAGCCAGCTCAATCTGTTTGTTTCTATTTTATCTGTTATGTAACATGCTCAGTTGTTGCCTAATGTCAAAATTGTGTGGCTACAACTGGCCCCCAAGTCTTGGCTAGTTATTTCAAACCTACGTGAGAATTTCATTCTACTGTATATTTCTGCAGCTCACACCTATGTATACTTTTCCTCTAGGTCTATTTTTCAGGCTTTTTTCTCTGTTTCCTTTCCTTGGCCTTCTGTGTTTACCATGGCATACCTTCTGTGTTTACCATGGCATATTGATTTCTCAAATGCCTGTGCATTTCCAAGGCTCAGCATGTTTCTTGTTACTGTGTATGCTTTTGTGTTCCCTCCTTTTTAGAAACAGGATAGCACAATACAAGTAGTCCTAATTTATTGATCACAGTTGGGACCAGCAACTTGATTGTTGTGAGGTGGTCACAACCATAGCTATGTTTACCATCATACTTCAGTTTTCTTTTGCTTTATAGATCTGTGAAGGTTGTAAATGTGAAGATTGGTTGAAAATGTAACTATCAGTCACTGTATAAAGCAGTCTCCAAACAAGGACTATAATTGTGGGTGGCTATTGATAAGATTTGGATAGCTCAGCCAATGGTAACTAATGTCTTTATTATAGCTTAGTTTCTGACACTTCTGGCTACCTGCTTCTTTTTGATAAATAGAAGGAGCCAGCACTTATATGAAAATCCCATAGCATACACACATTTTTGTATTTAATATGAAAGGGCCATTAGCTGTTGCACAATAGTTACCTTTCTCATATTGCAGGACTACAGATGTTGAGAAGCATAAAGCTATTTGTTGCATTAACATTTTTCATGGTAACATATTTTGAGTTTAAAGCAAGAAAGCTGTTCTTGGGACATACAGTATATTTGAAGTCTGTGCCACATTCCTCAATGAATGGAAGCATAAACACAGACAATGATGATTGCCTGCTTTCTGTTCTAATTTGGAAATTCTTTTTGATCAACACTGTTGCAAAGGATGTTCTTGGCAGGTTTCCTGGGAACAGATTCCAAAAGTGAACATTGCCTTGTAATTTGAAAGGGAAACATTAGGAGACAAAAGGCAATATTTTTGTTTATCTGTTGCATGCTGTCTCCTACCTTTCTGCAGTTTGAAATAGTGACTTAAATAAAATGTAGGCATAAAGAAGAAAAAAGGTAACTAAATGCAGCTACTAAATGGCAGTTTGTCACATAGTCTAATAAAAGAATTTTGCTCCCCTCTCGGATGAAATATTTTGAAAAGGCTACTCATGGAGACAGTTTCACCAGCCAAAGGGCAATTAGTTGCAGTCATCATTTTGGTAGAGGCCCATTTACTTTTTTTTTGGTGGGGAGATTCCCCGTTTCTCCTTTTCCATTAAGTGGATAAATTCCCTAATTACACATTAAATATATAAACACCCTGAACATCTCTTTTTAAGTACAAGCCACAATGGTTTGGCAAAGGAGATTTTCCGGGAAAGCCAGAATAAGTATTACTGTTGGTGTCAGTAGCAGTTTCTGTCCAGAGCTGAATGGCGCCTTTTGGAAAGAGGCTTTCCCACAACATCCTTTGCTACCTTTGTATCAACATCTGAACATAAGAGCAGTGGGTAGGTCTTTGCCTTGTTAAGCTGTACCATGACAACACACAACAGCGGTGATCTCTGGATACAGCACAATTGACTAGGGCTTACAACTGATTGCAGAAGGAGCTGAGGTCTCTTTGCAAAAGTTTCTATCGGAGCTGGGACCTTGCATTTAGAAGTCTCTAATACAGTGATTCTCAAGTTTGGCAATTTTAAGATCTGTGGACTTCAACTCCAAAAATTTTCCAGCCAATGTTGCTCCAAATGGCTGATTGGGGAATTCTGGGAATTGAAATCCACAGAACTTAAAGTAGAGAAGATTGAAATACACGGCTCTAATGAATATAGGAATATTCCTTGCTTCTGGCAGCTATTTCTGGGGGGGAAAAAGACAACAATACAAAGTCCAAAGAAACTCTGTAACAGTGAAGTCAACCTTTTGTAATGGCTATGAGACCTGAGCTACTAGATTTTGAGACGAAAATACAGATGCCTTTGACCACTACTATCTACATCACATCCTTGTGGGACTGCCTTTCCCCAGTGATTTCTGTCCATAACATCAGGTCTTGTGAAGGAAACATCAACCCTGGGGTCCTAAGAAAGTTGCCCTCTCTGTTATGGTGCCTGTTCCCAAAGATCTTTTAGGAGGCCATGAAATCCTGACTCTTCCTCCAGGAATTGGGTCCTAACTATTTGTTGTGCAGCTGTACCATGACATATGGCATAGAAGAAATTTTAATGAAAGGCCCTCAGCCTGATTTTGTGTTATGTGTGTGTGTGTTTTACAACTGTTGATATTTTTATCATATGTTTGCCATCCATGGTTTCATTGAATAGATAGGCAGCCTTATAAATTGGCATTGGATTTCCAGTAATGATCTTATGTGAAGGTGTCTTCAGGAAGTCTAAGGGAGTGTCCACCTTGGACTTAAAAAATATTAGGTGACAGAAGTGAATTAATCAAATGAGAATGCCTTTCAGCCAGCCACCAAGGCTAATTTAGTGAACCTACATGGAAATGCCTCTGTGGTGAGCTTTGTATTATAATAAAAAGACGTTGAAAAAGAAGCAAGAGATATTGCATTGACGTGCTGAAACCTAGAGTATAGCAAAAACTGGCAACTTCATGTAGCTATAGTTCTCCCAACTGCATGTATTGGAAATGAATTAGAAAATAAATAAATTAATGCACTTCCTATACTGTATCTAAATGGCAAGATAGGGGTAATAAGAAAGCTAGCAGAGATCGACTCATCCATGCCATCACTAGTATTTTGTGTTATTACCACATTCTCTGGATAATGTCCAAGGTTTCTATAAATTATTATATAGAAATCATTTGTTGTTGTTATTTTGTGCATTTAAGCTAGTCTTCTGGTGCTTGTCTGTAGTTTTCTTGGCAAGAAATGGTTTACTGTTGCTTTCTTCCTAGGGCTGAGAGTAAGTGACTGACTCAAAGTCATCAAGCTGGCCTTTTGCCTGAGATGGGAATAGAGCTCATGATTTTCTGGTTTCTGGTCTGCTGCCTTAACAGCTATACCAAATTGGCTGTCATTGAAATCATCGCTTAACAGGCTATTTATGGGGTTGTTATAATAATAATAAAAAAGAAACAAAAGAATAAGTGGGTAAAGGTTCCTAGAGCCTTCACTGACAGCCTTGCTAAGTCTTACTGTTGTGTTCTATGCAATAAATCCATTTGGGTATTTTTTCTGGTTCCTAGCATGAAATATTACAGTGCTGTGATATGAGCTTCTCCGAGTTGGGTCTCTATAATGTGCATCCTTCATCCTCAGCTAACATGGCAACGTTTTGGAGATGATAGGAATTTCAGCACCAAACATCTTATATGTTCAATTTCTTTATAAATAAACTCATTTCAAAAGAGATTAATGATAGTTTGATTCCATTGATGTCTAGGATCCAGTTGATTTTGAATGGAGTTTCTGGATGGAATGGGGCAAAGGATATATACTGTGGCTTCTTTTGGGCCACCTGATGGTATCACTGATATCCAGCATCTATATGGAAAAGGTACATGATTTTGTTTTCTACTAAACATTTTCTCCTCTGCTTTCTACCGAAATTATAATAATCTATAAGTAGAATTACAAAAATCCATATTTAGAGTATAAATGCTTAAATGATATAGTTGTCAGTTTTTGTTATTGCTGTTGTATTTGCATCTTCCCTTTCTTCAGTGATGCTTCAGACTGGTGACTGTGTTGGAAGATGGGATACAAGTGAATCAGGTGCTTTTCCCCTCATTTATATGTTACTCATGTGAAAGGCTTTCTTGTGAATACAGTATTGGTTCCCCTCCAATACTGTTTGTGTTCAGCAAAGATTGAAGAGGATTCAGCGATGCTTCTGGATTCTCCACTGCAACAGGGACTCCAAACAATTGAGGCTCCTGATCATAGGAATAAACCTCCTGGAGTGCAAACCTGAGCTGCTTCAGTCTTTCCTTCAGCATGTAGGACCCCAGAGTCCGGCTGTGTTGCCCTTGAATCATGCTGAGGTCTCTCACATAAAAATATGTGGAGAGGGTTACATTTTATAGGCAAGACAACATGACAAAAGTTTTGACTGATAACCCTCATTTCCTCTTTCTGTCTCCCCTATTACTGTTTTACTTGTTTTATTTATTTGACTATCAGAAGAAATAAATGTGATATATGTAACATCACTGTACAGAGTTTCCCCTAGGTAGTAATCATGATATTATAGTGTTCCTTAGAAGAAATGCTGTATTTTATTTGCATGATGTAAAAATAGGAACTGAGTTTTTTTTAGGAGGAGGAGGCACAAAACATTTTGTTGCCCCTTCTACCCTTGCTATCCTACGCTTTGCTGCCCTTGCTACTCTGCGGCCTGCCCTGCAGTCCTGTCACCCTGCCCTCTGCTGCCCCTGTACTCCACTGTCTCTGCCACCCTGCACTCTACTGCCTTCATCACCTTGTTTTGTTGTCCTCTGTGCTATGCCTTGCATGCATGTGGCTGCCCCTGCTACTTTGTGCTCTGACCTACACCCCTGGTGCCCCCCTATGCCCCCCACCTTGGCTCTTCTTGCCTTTGTGAAGCCAGGCACACCTCATCAGTAGCAGGAAGAAGAAGGCAGGGGTTTGGCAGAACACAGGGCAGGAGTGCATGGCAGAACGGCAGGAATGGTGGAGTAACAGGGTGGAGGATGACTGGGTGGCTAAAAGGAGAGAGATGGGGGTGATAGGCAGATGGGGGGGGCAGTTGAAGCGCACCTTGCAGTTGTAAATGCAGCCTGAATTTTGATCACTGCGAGGCTGCTGCAATGGCTGTAACTTTGAGGACTGGGCATAAGTACCATTTGTTCAGTGCCTTTGTAACTTCAAATGGTCACTGAACAAATGGTTGTTAAACTGTATTCTTATTGACAGTGTAGGACAGCAATCTAAATATTGTAATCTGAATAATATCACATTTTAAAAATAACTTGTGGACAGCTTGTGGGAGGATTACAAGTAACAGGTAAAATGTTGCTATAATTACAGTGCAAGCAATTGTGCAATTATTTTTAAATGAAAATAGTTGTTTTAGTTTGTTGATGTGAAGCCACTGCTGTCAGATAGATTTTTAAATCAACAGTATATACTAGTGGATGATCACTTGACTATGAGCTAGCCATGTGCAGCAGCAACCATAAAAGCTAATACAATCCTGTGTTTTATAAACAGAGGCATAGAATCAAGATCATGCGAGGTATTAGTACCGCTTTATAAAACCCTAATAAGACCACACCTGGAATATTGCAGCCAATTTTAGTCACCATATCACAAAAAAAATGTTTAGAGTTTGGAAAAAATTCAGAGAAGAGCAGTTAAGATGATCAAAGGCCTGGAGACTAAAACATACGAAAAATGGCTGCGGGACTTGGGTTTGGCTAGTCTAAAAAAAAAAAAAAGAAATAAAGGAGACATATTAGCAGCATTCCAGTATTCCAGTATTCCAGTATCTGAGGGGCTGCCAGAAGCAAGAGGGGTCACCAGAGCATCAGAGGGAAGGACGAGAAACAATGGTTGGAAAATGATCAAAGAGAGAAGCAACCTGGAATTAAGGAGAAACTTCCTGACAGTGAGAACAATCAACCAGTGGAACAGCTTGCCTCCAGAAATCATGGGCACTCCATCACTGGAGATTTTTAAGAGACTAGATATTCACCTGTCCGCGACAGTATAGGTCCTGCTTGAGCAGAGGGCTGGACTAGAAGACCTCCAAGGTCCCTTTCAGATCCTATCCTATCCTATCCTATCCTATCCTATCCTATCCTATCCTATCCTATCCTATCCTATCCTATCCTATCCTATCCTATCCTTCCTACTGATCAACTTAATTAAGCAAGGGCTGCGTATATTTTTATTTGTTTTAATAAGAACATTACTTTCAGGTCAGTGTGAAAGAGAGAATTCTTATAGTTCCTCAGTTTCATATGAAAGATTTTTTTAATGAAATGAATAACTTCACTCCTGCAAAATTGACTGGGGTAGTTACATTCAGTGTTTTCAAAGGAAGCATGGAGAAAAGCAAAATGGCTTCTATCTACACTGTTTTTACTTGTCCACAGCAACATGGCATATTATATTACAACACAGACCTGAGAGTTATTCCAGTGTTATGGTATATAGTGTTTGGCTGTTGCTTAGGTTCTTGTTTAATCACACTGCTCTGTGGTTATGGGCCCAAAATAGGATAACGTCAGGCATGCTGGTCTGAGTAGAGGCAAATATGATAAATAAGAGCGAGGCAAGATTTTCTAATGTTAAACCATGCATCTTTCTTTCTATTCTATGTTTTGGCATGTTGTATAACTCACTAAGGAATGTGCCCTAGTTTATGGTAATCATGGAATGCCTATGTAAGACTGGTTTTCCTGGAACAGGTCACATAGATCTGAAGGGACGGACATTCAGCACCTTTCTTTGAAATAGCCCATGAATTTGGAAGAAGGTTAGGTTCCGAAACATATAGCAGTCAATCTGTTGCTCTATCTGCTAAGATAGCCACCTGATAGAGTCGCTCGGTAGAGAGATGGGCAGCATATATAGTTAATAAATAATTACATGGCTATTTATTAGAACTAATAGATAAAACCTACCTCTGTGGCTTGTTGAAAGTGCTTGTGGTCACCTCCTGTTTGATACATTTGACCTAAAGTAACTGTAGAAATATGCTAAAGCCCATATGGTCTTTTCTGACTAAAAGCTCTTTGAATCCCTCTTACCTTCTTCCTGAGAATTGTAGGACTGAAAATAGAATTATTTCTTGTGAAAACTCAGAATTTGGGCTTCACTACCTCCTTTCTGTCTATTAATCCTAGGTCCTTTAAATAGCACTTACTTCAACTTAGATGTACTGCTCATCCTGGGCATCTCATCCCACCATTTTTAGAAAATAGTAATTATCTTCAAGTTGTTCAACAGTGGGAGTAAGTTGGCAGGTTCCCCCACATCTTCCTTCATAGTTCACTTTTAATGAACTCCACACTGAGTAGTGCTGGATGGATGCTGTGCTATAAGCTTATTAAAATTTGGGGGGGGGGTAATTATTGAACTATAACAGTAAAAAAGTCAAGAAAGAAAGAAAAAGAAATCTATGTCATCAGTTTTAGATAGGAGATGAATTTATGAGACACAGGGGAGAACTAATTTTTGCTTGTTCCTAAAGAGCCAGATTTAATGTTTGCAGATGTGTTTTTTTTTTCAGAAAAGCAAAGTTCTTCTTCCCATTTCAAATTTGCATTGGAGAATAATACTTTTATGCACATAGTTTGCTTAATATATTCAAGTTGTTTTAAGAGTCTGTTCTACAGTGTTGTGCTTCATAGTTAGAATGATTTGAATAATGCTTGTCTTCCAAGGCAGACATGTAGAGAAGGCATGCCTGGTTGAGCTTGAATGGGTAGTTGATGTACCCTGAGCAGTATCTGCAGTGATTTTCTCAGCTAAAACTTCTCTTAGAATCCTTTGACTCTACTTGAGGCCAGAGAGGATTTTTTTTTTTTGAATGAGCCTCTCATTTAAGCACAGGGAAACGCAATTTGGTGATGGGACAATCCTTAATTCAAGTAGGTGTGTGTTTGGTGTGTTTGTGTATACATACAGTATATTATTTATTTACTTGTCAACTTGTGTGCCACCTCAGTAATAGGGTGGCTTGAGGCAACTTACACAGTAGGATTAAAACAACAAGAAATTAATAACTAGAAACAATCAAAATCACACAAAGAGCATTTCATGCACATAGATAACAGTATAAACAAATTCTCCACAAACTATCATCAGAAAATAGACTACTCCATCCCAGCCCAGAATATGATAAAAGAGCTAGACTGTTACAGCTCTGTGGAAGCCAACAGAGTCAGGGCTATATGGATTTCAGGGGCATGCTGGTCCCTAGATCTCACAAGATTACAGTGCTTTTAAGCTAAGACTTAGAGTGTCAGTTCTTCTAGATCTTACCAATTAGGCAAAAACAACAGGAGGAGAAGAATCCTACAGGCAACCAGAACCTGAGCCATGAAGAGTTTTATAAGTGAACACCAATTTGAATAGCACTGGAAGCCCACCACTAGCCAGCATACCTTGCAGAATACTGGTATTACATGAGTGAAATGAGCAATCCCATAGCTACATATGTAGCTGCATTTTGGGCCATTTGAAGGTTCTGAGTACTCTCAAGGTGAGTCCCATATAGAGCACATTGCAATCATGTAGATGAGGGGTGTCAAACTCGCAACACCATGTGATGTGTCGCGACGTATCGTGACTTTTTTTCCATTGCCAACAATCACAGGCATCTGGCCTGTGGGTCGGCAGTTTGACACCCCTGATGTAGATCCTTGTGGAATGGAGGAGGTCACTAATTCAGTGAGTCATGTCCTCTTAGAGCAGTGGTTCTCAACGTTTGTGTGACGGCGACCCCTGTCACACAAACGTGCCGCGCGTGCGCAGCCCGCCCCCATGCGCGGTGCGCATGCGTGGCCCACCCCCATGCGTGGCGCACGTACGCGGCGCCGCCCCCTGAGGGGGAAAAATGGCGGATCGCCTTGTTTGGCGACCCCCGAGAAATGGTCGATCGACCCCAAATGGGATCGCGACCCATAGGTTGAGAACCGCTGTCTTAGAGTCTTCATTCTGTTCTGCTTGGTTTCTGTTCAGATCTGCTCTCATTTGCCCCTTTCATAAGGAATGGACCAAACAGATCTGATGAAATTTATATCCATTTCCTCTTTTATATATCCAAACATTAAGATATTTTCAATGTGCCAAAATTCTGTTTTGCTGTCTCCTAAATTAAACAGATGTTGAACCAAAGTTCCTGTTATTTAAGTTAATGTGGCATTTGACATAGACAACCAGGATGAATGCTGCTAAACACTCTTTATGCTGGTTAATTTGATTACTTGTTATTGTATTTTGTAAAGCTGAGTGCTGTGTAAGTATTGAATATACAGTATTTCTTATTTGCTTTTCTTTTGTGGGATATATTTGTATTTTTGTTTGCTTGGTTTAAGGACCTTAATAAAAATCATTCATTTCCTGCTTCAGCCTTAGTTAGCTGTCAGTCATTATTTGATCATATCTCTTAATTTGGGCTAGGCAAAGTCATAATGACAAACACTTGTCATGGTTCCGACTAATCAAACACTTCAGACCCAGTTCACTTTCATCCACTATTCTACAGTATAACAGTAAAAATTATCATCGATATTAATATATTTCAATATGTCCTTATAACTTATCATAATTTTTATAGAGAAAGAAGGTGTTTTGGAACAGGCCTGGGCAGCAAACATGCTGCATTTATTAGGTGCCACTTTTAAAAAGCTTTGCCTTTTCCTGGGCTCTCCTGGCTCTTCAGAGCAAGGGCCAGTATTCCATCAGTGCCTCCTTAATTTAAATGTGAAATTTCGTGGGATTGTGTAGCTAAAAAAGAGATACCAACAACTATGGAAAATGTGTCCATGTCCAAACAAAATTAGTGTTTTGGCTCTGTATCTGATACACAGCACTTCCCCAGTTTTGTTGCAGAAGACCAGACTTCTGTGCAGAAGACCAAAGTTGGTCCTCATTTCAGATGTCATTAAGCCATATGAAAGCTAGGGCACCATCACTGCATTAATCTGCAGTTGAAAAACTTGTTATGGTGCTCATACTTTCCCTGTGAAGGCCAGTAAATGGTAAGATTGAGATAGCAAGCCCATTCCCTGTCAGGCTGGTTTCTAACTCAGTCTGAGTTAGAAAACACTATTTAAATAATTAATTACTTAATTCCATGTACTTTTAAAAACCGATATAGATTCTTTTTCTCTCTGGACAATTACATAAATTGTGTTGCACTTGGAGGGTGGGGTTGATGTCTCGGCATCATACAAACCAGTGTTACAGGAGGGAGCATATAATATGCAGAATTTGTTTTTTCTCAGGGAGAAAAATATATTAAAATAATCCTCAGGGATAAAATGTTGAATTTAGATTTAAGTGATCTTGGTTCATATTACTGTTTTATCCTAAATCACATTGAGTAATCATCTCTTCTCAGCTAAAATTATTTCACAGAGATTTTCTCAAGCTGGAACATGTTGACCGTTCCCTCTGACCCCCCCCCCATATATGGTTTTGAGCTCCTTTGAGAGAGTTGAAAGTATTGGTGATAGATTAAACATTATTCATGCATGACATTTTATCATCTGTTCTCTCTAACATTTCAGTACAAACCTTGGTTTCTGTTAGTGTACGGAATTGCTGCCTGTTGGTTTCTACTGGGATCCAAAGGACTGACTATGATTTTTCTACATATCAGTATCTCATATTTAGTAGCCCAGTTGAAAAATCCAGTGCTTACATGGTTGACGTCTTTGCTTCTGTTGTCAACTCTGCATCTATCTGCCATAGAAGAAGTGAAGGTAATTACAATTGTAATTTTTGTGTGTGTTAAAATAAGTTATTTTGTAAAAGTCTGGGATTTTGAGAAATTTTGAGGAATAATTCTTAGAGGATGTTATAGTATTCTTAGAATGTTTCCTCTTTAGAAATTTAGAAATAAGATATGTATGTATATGTATTAGTGAAGATACAAAGTTGTTATATTTATTTTACAAAAGGAAAACATTGATAAAACTTGATTTTTTTTAAAAAAGCAAGAATCAGATTGATTCTTCAATCAATCATAGCTAAAATGTAAGCATAGAATAATTTAAATATTAAATGGCCAGTGGTTAAAGCTGACATTTCTTATCTGAAGCTGATAGTAAAACATAGTGTGAAGGAGATGAAAATAATCTGAAAAAAAGTTGACATAGAGTAAGCCAGATGGATTTGAAGCAATTCTGAAGTAGTAGCAAAGTCATATGCCAGTTAATACATCTAGTAATCTCAGTAATGTAAATTTCAAATTACTGCAGTACAGTTGGAAGCAACAGTTCTTCTAGATTTTTGTATATGCTTATCTTTTGTAATAGTGATCACTGTAAAACAATGTTTGCTTATTTGAGAATCTGCAGCAGCATGTGTATGTATGCAGAGATATATACATATATGTATGAATGTATATACAAATGTGTATGAATGTATTGTCTGTATAAAAAGAAATAAATATTACTTTACACTGTGGGCCTAAGTTGCTAAGGAAAGGGAGTTTTGGATAATGTAGCACTTTCCTTTTGCTTCCTGGAAGATTCTTTTCCTAAATGCATGGGGTGAATTCCATAATGAGGCTGGCTTAGAATAGATTTAATGAAATAATTGGGCGCTGTGGTGGCGCAGTGGTTATTAATTAGAATGCAGTATTGCAGGCTAATTCTGCTGACTACCAACAGTTTGATCCTGGCTGGCTCAAGGTTGACTCAGCTTTCCATTCTTCTGAGGTCGGTAAAATGAGGACCCAAATTATTGGGGGCAATATGCTGACTCTGTAAACCACTTAGAGATGATTGTAAAGCACTATGAAGTGGATATAAGTCTAAGTCAGTGGTTCTCAACCTTTTTAATGCCGTGACCCCCCAACCGGTCGTAAGTCGAGGACTACTCAAACGGTCGTAAGTCAAGGACTACTCAACTGGTGCAGCACCGTTTGCAGAATGGGACTTTTGGCAGGCTCAGCAGGGCAGAGACAGCCTGGACAATTCCTATTGGCTTTTGAAAGACAATAGAATTAGACTCTATTCAAAGAGTCTATTCTATTGGCTTTCAAAAGCCAATAGAATAAAAGGGAGTAGCACAGCTAAGGAAAAGGGGGAAAAAATGGCGGACTGCTTGTTTGGTGACCCCCGTGAAATGGTCGTTCGACCCCAAATGGGGTCCCGACCCACAGGTTGAGAACCACTGGTCTAAGTGCTATCGCTATAGTGCTATAGTTATGGAATACATTTGTTTATTCCATAAACTTTGTCTAATGCCAATAAAACCCGTAGGAAGTGTTTGGATAATATAAAGCTATTCTGGAGTCTTTCGTTTATAAATCTGTACACATGCAGATCTCAGGTTTCGGACTATGGAATATTACTTTCAATAGCTATGTGACCTTTTACATAATATTCAAATTGGTTTCATTTTTTTCAGAGAGGTTGGTATGCCAGTGAAAATGAGTACTATCTACTAGTTTTCACCCTGATTGTGCGCTGTCTCTATTATACAAGCTTCAGTCTGGAATATTGTTGGGATAGGACTACCGAGCATTCATTTCTTTGGATGTTATCATATACATTCTATTATCCTGTGTTTCACAATGGACCTGTTATCACCTTTGATGAATTTTATACACAGGTAACAACATTTGGATTGTTTTGATGTTCTTGACAATATGTTTTTGTATTGCTTGATGCCACTTTTTAATATCTTACTTCATGAATGAAGTAACCAAAATGAATCTGCACTAAATGATTTCTGTGGTCGTAGGAACCCAGAGTTTACATTAAATAATGGCATGGGCATAGTGTTGATTGGATTATATGGATTTTAAATTAACTTTATAGCAAAACAGAATTAATTGTAAATAGATCAAATGTCTGCATTTATAGAAGAGGGAAAAATACTAAAATACAGAATTGGGATGAGAAATATTGGTTGACAATAGTTCAAATGGAATGAATATTAGGAATGCAATTGATTAAATGTCAAGCATCAGAAAAAAAACCTCCATGATTTTACTCTTCAGAAATAGACCCATAATTTTTAGATGATGATGATGATGATGATGATGATTGACATATGGTACTGTTACATTAGCCAAGAGACTGCAATGCTATTGTAGAGTAGTAGATTGGCTGCCAATTTGTCAGCTCTGTTGTGAGAGACACTCACGCGCTTCCCAAGGTACACCACAGGAGGGGGAGCTGGTTTCACACCAGAAAAAAAGATGAGAAGCTCTTACTGCAGCCTCATCCAAGCTCCCCTCCCTTCCCTGAAGCTGCATCACAAATGGGTGTTGCAATCAGGAAGGTTCAGAGCTGACTACCTATATGGAGCACCAATTCATCTCCCCATGGAGGGGTATATATTTATCTACTCGCATAGAACATGCTTTTGAACTTCTAGGTCAGTGATGGTGAACCTTTTAGAGACCGAATACCCAAAACCCGGCCCTGCCCCCTCTCTGCCCCCTGCTCTGCCTCCCGCCCCCCACCTCCTGCCCTGCCCACAAGGCCACCCACCTATACAGCCTCCCGCAGATCGCCCAGGGGCCCAGCAGTGCCAGGGCAGCCACGCCATCTGCCTGCGCCCTGCAGCATCAACCATGCAATGGGGCGCGAGGGCGGAATCTTGGCCCCACTGCCTGGCTGCCATTCCTTGGCTGCACTGCTCCGCACAGGCCGCGGTTGGGGGCGCCTCTCCTCTGGGGAGCTGCTGGTGAGGAGGGGGTTGCGGGGGGATGCAGGTGCAGGTGCCCACAGAGAGGGCTCTGAGTGCTGCCTCTGGCATGCGTGACATAGATTCACCACCACTGTGCTAGGTGGACTGAAGCTGAGGCGTGATGGAAACTCACTCTGCTATGCAATGCTTGAACTTGAACCGCTGGTGCAGAGACGATTTCCAGCATCATTAAGCCATTGAACCACCACACCTCTTGTAATTTTCAGATCATGAAAAGTAAATTAAAGTAATAATTGGAATTTTTCTGTGTAAGCCCTATGCTATTTTGGAATACTAAATTGAAAATATTACTTTTAAAAATTATGCAGACAAATTCAAACAGGTTCAGAAGATGTATTGTAAAATTGGGTATAGCGGCCTAGAAAAGTCTGCTGTCCCAGGAGCAGGGCTAAATCTATTGTGTATAAGTTCCAGAAATGTTAACTTCAATTGAATATTTAGCTGAATCTTGAGAAGTGTAGCTTCATGGTGGGAGCCAATTATAAAGTATATGAGATGGCTGTCATGGAAGTAGAATATCTGTTGGGAATACGCTAACTCTAGATTTCCTGTGTCGAATAGCTAGATTATTATGCCAGGCCGTTTCCTTTTGATTCTGATTCTGTGAACATGTAAACTGAAGCCTAGGGTGATGTTTAGAATTGGATATTGAGTTTTTGCTATTAGATTTAGCTCAGTTTTTTCAAAAATAATTTCAACCACGTGGGACATGAAAGCTGTCTGTATAGAGCTGAATGCATGTCGGGTGGGGGCCTGGAGAGAAAATCAGAGTTTTAGGCATTCAAAGAGAGACTTTTTAATAGCTCTGGTACAAGCCCCTTTGGGAATTAATGCTAGAAAATTCCTTTTGAATTTATACTAGATGATTATTCTCATTAGCTATTTTAATTGTATTTTTCTTACTTGAAAAATTCATGTTGATAAGATTTTAAATGGATAAGGTTTTAAATATTGGCCTGTTTCCATAATTTATTTTAAATAGAAATAGTCTCTCTGAAGGGAGCTGGGAAAAATAGAGCACTGTTTGCTGTTCTTGTTGATAAAATAGATCTAGATGTTTATATAAAATTTGGAAAAAGTATATTAGCACATATGAAGTTCATTGATCATAGGGAGTTGTTTTGTGTGTTGTAATATGCCTCTCCTAGTTCTCTTACAACTACCCTGCCTTTGGAGAACCCTATTTCTTAGATTCTTAACTTCTCACAAGCCATCACTCTTTTTTAGGTCTGGGTATTGGGGCTGGGTTCATCAGGCTGTTAGTGGTTCTGATCAATCCCTGTATGTTCCCTGGAGTCGGAATGGGACAACTTGCTGCAGCCTACCCGCCACCACTAACTTGCTACTGCCAAGTCACCGCAGGACAACTTCACACAGCAACTTGCTGCGGGGATAACTTGCTGTGGGTGGCTGGAGGGAGACCTGTGCAGGTGAGGAAGCAGGTGGGCAGAGTGCACAGAGCAGCCGGGTGGGTGGTGAGGAACAGTGACGGCTGGGGGCTTCCTATTTTCACACACCCAGCAACCACTACTGCACCAGGCTTGGAGCCCTGTGTGGTAGTGGCAGCGGCTCTAAGCCTGGTGTACTGCTGTGGTGTCCTCACTGCACCGGGCTCACAGCTGCCACTGCTACCACCACTGCACCAGGCTTGCAGCTGTCATCTGTGTTGCCATTGCACTGAGCTCAGAACCATTGCCGATGCCATCTCCTCCCTGCCTCCCACCCTTAACTGCCACCACTGCCATCGCCGGCCTCTTTTGCTCGGAGCCTGGCGTGGCGACAGTGACGGATGTGAAAATGGGGAGCTCCCAGGCACTGCTGTTCATCTACTTGCCTGCCCACCTGGATCTCCCTCCAGCTGCCCATGGTGAGTTGTCCCAGCGATGAGTTGACCATGTAGAGTTGTTCTGTGGTGGCTTGGTGGCAGTAAAGTTGACAGAGTTTTGGAACTACATTGCTTCCTACTTTGCAGTGAAATTAAATATCACAGCTGGTATCTAAAGTTCAGCATTTTAATGTTGGCTATGTAACAGGAAACAGGTGTGTCTACATGCCTTAAGAAGTCTGATTGGCATGCATCATAACTGAATTGACAACATTGTAGGAATTTGTTTTCTGTTTCGCAGTACTTTGAAAATAGTTTCTTTAAAATAGTTGCAGATAGTAAGATGTCATTAAAGATGAATCAGTATGGTGAAAGCATCCGGCAAGCTTGCTGAAAGAAGTACCGTAATAAGGGTCATTAAGTAATCTTCTATTCTTTATGGAGAATAAGCCAATCATGTGTGTAATGATTACATCCTAGCAATGAACAGAGGAAAAATAGAGGGGGAAAAAATCAAGTAAAGAAATTGGAAGTTGGCTGAATGAGGAGTTTCCTCATTCCTTTTTCTGCAACAACTGAGGAAATAGCTTCTTAAAAGGTCTCCAGAATTCTATTTTATATTTATATTTATAATAGAACAAAAACCTACAATAATCTTGTGGAAGGAGGAGATCAGTAATCCTGTTGAGCAAGATATCAGATATATAATCCTATTAAATGATTTCGTAGATGTTGTAAGAAATATAAAATTGATATATGTAAGTCATATACCCTCCACCTTCATCCCAGTTCTGCCTAAATCAGAGATCACCAACCTTTCTCGGTTGGTAGACCGGAGGAAAAGGGAGCGCGAAGCATTTTACACAAGTGCGTGTGCGCATGCACAGGGGGCCATGAGCTTATGTGCTCCACAGATAGGGTGGGGTTAGCACCCACGTGATACTAACCCTGCCCTGTTCTTGCATGGTGCAGTGCCTCATTTCTGCGCCCTGCACCGCAGTGGTGATCATTTTTGCACCTTGCAGCATGGTGGCACCCATCTTTGTCGTGCGGCTACATCCATTTTTGCGCCTTGCAGTGTGGCTGCAGCCTGTTTTTGTGCCCTGCAGCATGGCAGCATCCCATTTTCATGTCCCGAGGCATGGCTATGGCTGGTTTTTGCATGGCGCGGCATCTTGTTTTTGCACCCCGTGGCCACAGCGCTAGCGCAAGTGAGCGAGTGTGTGCACACACGTGCATGCACTGGCCAGCCTGTCCTGGGCCCACAGGTTGTGGACCCCTTGCCTAAATGATCAGAATCATTATATTTTCTTCCCTGATACATCTGAGAACAAAAAGCTTGTTTTAGAAACAATTATCTCAACAGGTGATAAAAGCTTGAATGTTGATACATTCAAATATAATATACTTCCCTTTGGAATGAATTCTACCGGGTATTACAGGTTGAATGAAATGTTACAGAATGATCAAACGTGCTCTGGGAAATTCGTAGGCTGAATTTAAAGAAAGTCATACATGTGAAAGACAATGACCATAATTCACTGGTGATATAAAGTGAGATGTTTATTTAAAAAAATGTGAAAAGTTTTTTTTTTTTGAGGGGTTAGGAGCTTATCCATATAATCCAACAGCTGAATGCTGTATATCATTATCAAACTGCCTGAGGCAAGGGAATTTTTATACTAAAATGGTAGATAAATTCATTCTTTTTATGTAATAATAAAATCATGCTGCAACTCATGATGCCATGCGACTGAGAATTTAAAGTACCCACAGAAATGTTATTTTTTTAAAAAAAGAACTTAAAATGGTAGGTGATTAACATTATTAATTTGAACTGGCAAGTCTTTTTTAAAATCTGGTGTTTGAGATCAGAAAAGGAATCCTTGCATAAGGCTGCACTCCTATTTATAGATCCTCAACTGAAACTAATTCTGCTTACATATGTTTTTCACAAGAGGGCATTAGAAATATATTTTCTTTAAGGAAAGTAATTATGTAATAAACTGCTTCCAATAATGGTTCCACCCATTGTTGGAATTGCCCCCAATTTATTTAATGCAGAAACATTATCACTGGATATGGCTTTGGGGAGATGGTACACATGTTACCTGCCTCCAAGTGGTGCTTGTGGAATACTTTTAAAAGTCGGTAATCTTAAGAGATTACCAATTCTTATGTCAGTGTTCCTCATGAAATGTTTGGTGAGAATGCTAACATCCAGTAAGATTTAGTGTTCTTATAATATTTCCATTATACTGGCACACACATGGTATGCATGTGTAGATGGATCAGTGCTCCAGCTAATGACCATTTGCATCATTTGTGATTACTAATGCTCCCTGGATCAAAGATCAGGACTCAGTGAATTACATTATTTGCAGTATGATGACAACATTAATGTGTAGCTATCAAAAGCCTTGAAGATCTGGCTGTGTCTACTAGTTCTAGACAACCCCCAGGGGTAGTAGGTGGCTTAAGGATGTTCCTTCTGCTTTAACTTTCTAAATTTGCTTTTATTTTTTATTATTGCTTTTATTTATCTTTAAATCTGTTTCTAATGTTGACTTTTAAATAGTTTTATGACTTTTATTTGTAAACTTTCCAGAGTCACTCAGAGTGAGATGGTTGGTGTATAAATTTGATAGATAAATAAAATACCATAGATATGATGTTTACATGACAATCATGACTAGCCTTTCTTCAACAGCATGATCATAAACAATGCTCACAGAGAATTCTGGGAGTTGTCTATCACAGGGGTCCTCAACCTTGGCAACTTTAAGATTTGTGGACTTCAACTCCCAGAATTCCTCAGCCAGCAAAGTTGGCTGAGGAATTCTGGGAGTTGAAGTCCACAAGTTTTAAAGTTGCCAAGGTTGGGGATCCCTGGTCTATCACATCTGGAGGACAGAAGGCTGCTCTATAGAGTGTTGTTTTGGTAGTGTGGAATCAAACACAGGACCCAGAAAGCAGCAATCAAGGCTCCCTGCAGTATCTAGTTATTTAACAATGCGTACTGGAGAAGCTCTCTTCCAAAAGAAAAGTGGGACACACACCCCTATAGACAAATATATGCATGTGTATTATATATTTCAGAAAGGGGAAAGTGATGCATGCATGCATATCTATTTGTAGTACATCTCAGGTTACTTCCTGTCCTTCTGTTATCTACAGAGCACAATGATTGCTTTCTATAGATAACAGAAGGGGAGGAGGTAAATTGAGATGTATTACAAATACATATGTCAGAAGAAACATTTGTATCTTGAGATTCAGCAATTCCTATAGGGATGTTCTGATAAAACCACAGCTGCTATGAGCTGCAAGGACACATTCCGTATGCCTCAATTTGTCTGTTAAACAGTCCTATTCATCTGAAAACTGATTTTCCCTAGAGCAGTGTTTTTGTATGTTTTGTCATTTTAAAAAAATTCTTTAATACCTCCCATATTATAAGTAAATGCATATGTTCTTCAGATTACAAAAATCCAGGACTATCAGCAAGCACAATATATTTTATGTTGTTTACATGTTTTAATTTTCAAACACAAAGACTAAATAAAGATTCTGATTGGAATTAAAAAGGAAAGAAAAAATTGCTTGATACAATAGTCAATTAAAATCCAGTTCTATACAGTATTAATGTTTAATTTATTCTAATGCAGATGAGCAGACAACAATCCTGCAATTGGAAGTCCAATCTATCTATTTTCATCTGGGGAGCCATTCGTATTTTGATTTGGTGGTGGTTGGCAGAATTGATGATTCATCTTATGTATATGCATGCTATCTACAGTAGCATTTCACACCTGGAAGCAGTAACTTACTGGACGTTAGGTGAGTGTATGTCTTTGTGTATAGAACTGATTATTATGTATTTATTAGGTGGCTAATCCTAACTCAGTGTAGGATCTTTGCCCCCAGTGGGCTCACCAATAACATAAGCAACAGAGTGGGTTTCAGTAACAGTTGCATGGGTTTATTGATTCAGAATTCCAAAATAATTACCTTTTTCGAACATTGCTTGGTTTCAGCACAAACAAATTAGAGATATCCACAGACAATTAACATTGTCTTCTCACTAAGGGAAGCAGTAATGTATCTATGTCTTCATTGGGCTGCTAGGAATGAGTTCTACTTGGTTCCCATGCTAGGGAAGCTGCATGCTTAGGTTAGAAAAAGATAAAGTAAGAGAGAAATAACAAAGGGAACATAAGTATTTAATCACCCTCACCAATTTTCATCCATTTATACTCTCACTCTACCAAATATGGTGCTTGTTAAATGTAATTTGCCACTCAAAGAATGGCTCACATGACTACTCAAGTTCTTGTATCATTCCATTGCATAGACAACATGGTCAAGCCACTAGCAGAAGTGCAATAGATTCTCTATTTCCCCTTCTCAACACAGCTTATCATGTTCTATGCTGGAATCCTATAAGGGCTGTATCTTTGATTCTTACTCATATACTATATACTGTACAGTGGTACTCAATTGCTTTGAAACTCATTGAATGTCATAATCAACACATTTTGACCTGAAAATTTTGTCCCAGTACTCATTGTTTGTTTGGTACTTGATACATAAGCGATAACTTGTCATTGTTTTGTGACTCATACATTATTCCTTATGGGAAAAAATGTTTGATATTTATCATTTTTGGTACTCATTCATCATTTTTGGTACTCATTGTGCCTCCCGCAACCAATTAACAATGAGTACCGAAATACATGCTGATAAAGTCAATGCTGATATAGTCAAGTCCATCCATCTTGCTGATGATCATCCTCTTCTACTATTCCATTTTCCCCAGTAGTGAAATCTTATCTAGGTAGCTGGGCTTTTGTAAGTATAGATATGTTATGGCATCTGAATATCTTTTTCAAAGCCTTTGTTGCTACCCTACCAAATGCTAATATTTGGTGAATTTCTTGATTACTGGTCATTTTATTGTCAATCCCAAATGGCAGAAGTTACCCACCACTTCAATATCTTCATTGTCAATTTTAAGGCTGTTTATTGTATCTGCTGTCATTAATTTGGTCTTTTTTATATTTACTCTTAGTCTCATTTTTCCAATGTGTTCCTTGATTTATATTACTTAGAGCTTCCAGATAATTTGCACTTTCAACTATTAAAGTAGCCTCATCTGCATAATGCAGGTTATTGATGATTCTTCCAAATCTAAAATCACACTCATCTTCTTCCAATCCAGCTTCACTTGATACATTCAGCATATGGGTTGAATAAATAAGGGAAGAGTATGTGGCTTTGTTGCATTCCTTTGCTAATCTGGAATCTTCTTTGTCCTGTTCCATCCAGACTGTGCTTCTGGCCTGTGTATACTTTCTCATAGGGTCAGTGAAATGTTCTAGAATTGCCATTTTCCTGAGGATATTCCACAGCTTGATATGTTTGGCACAACTACAGATTTTTCCATAATAAATGAAGCCCATATTGACTTTTTTCTGATATTTTTTAACTATTTCAATTTTCTAGCATCCGTCAGCATTAAACATAATTACTTTGCTAGCATGTGAAATTAAAGATATTGTAGCGCAGTGCAATGTATATAGGTATCAGTTGGATGTTGGAAGTTTGTGTTAGTGTTGAAGAAATCATTGAATGGGTAGAAGTCATTTTCTTGCTTTGTTTTGAATTCCTAGGTCATGCAATCCAATTACATTTTTCTCCTTAATAACTTTGGTATTCTAGTCTCCAGCCATAAATAGCACATCATCTTGCATGTTCTGGTAATTTCAGATTGAATCTGACCGTAAAATTTATCAGTCTCCTCTTTTTCTGTATCAGTGCTTGCTGCAAAAGCTTGGATAATCATATTAAGGTGTTGTCCACAAAGTTTAATTGATAATATTTGTTCCCAAATACTGCCCTTGTTTTATCCTTCCTGAAAACTATGAAAACAATACCATTATTTCATGGTATATTTTCATGCCTTGAGTAGTAAACAGTAAGATAATGTGGTTAAAAAGGTCCAGGTTTTGTCCATTTCACATTGGTAGTGTTCAGTGTGTAGTCAGCCTATTTCATCTTTTATATTGTTGAGCTTTCCCGCATTCACTCTAAGTTTAGCTTCAGATTTTCTTTTCCTACACGACAACTAGACATCCCAAAGGCTTTAATTTAGCCGTGACATAAATATATTAGTACTCTGAAAGATGATTAGCTCTTCCTTAGTATCATGTTGAATGCCATTCAACCTGGGAGGCCCTTCATCCAGTACTATATCATTAATCATTCTATATTTCATCTCCTTGTGGCTTTCTTGGTAAAATACAGAAAGAGTTTACATTGCTTTCTCCAGAATGGTATGAAATGATGCCTTTTCTGTGGTGACATCTCCCCCCAGTATCTTCCTGTAACACTGCTGCCTAGTATACATGCCTACTTGTTTTAGTTATGTAGCTGAGATGACTTGGGAGTACAAATGTGACCAAAGTACTGATACTCTAAATTTTTTCCCCTAAGGAATCTCAATTTGTTGTGAAATAAGTTGAAAATGACACAAGTAAATGGCATCCAACATATTTTAACTCCATAATTAAAAGAAGCAGACACTTTGTTTTGATATATAACTTAACATATTCTTGTAAATAATAAAAAAATGAAAATTGCATGGAAATAATTATGGCACCTCTAACCTACTATTTCATAGCATATTTTTTTGAAGCAGTAACTACAATCGAACACTTTTTGCAGCTCTGAATAAGACTTCTACTCTTGTGAAATGGTAATTTGTCACATCTTTCTTGAACAAATTGCTCCAGTTGCCTTAGATTTGATGTGTTCCTTCTTTTAACTGTGAATTTTAGCTCCTTCCATAGATGTTCTATAGGACTCAGATTAGGATTCATACCAGGCTACTTCAGAAGAGTCCATTGTTTACTTTTCAACCATTCTTGGATTTTCCAAAATGCATTTTTAGGTCAAATATACTGCTGGAGGACCTGAGAGATGCAACTGAGGCACTGGGCATTATGTTTTGCTCTAGAATGCCTTAAAAAATCTTCTGATTTTGTTGTGTCTTGCACAAATTCAAGGCCTCCAATGTAAAAGGCAACCAAGGCAACCAAGCATTATGGAACCTCCTCTATGTTTCATAGCAGGGATGGTGTCCTTTTCTTTAAAAGCTTAATTTTTCCTTCTGTGAACATAGGGCTTACCAAAACACTCTAATTTTGTTTCCTATGTCCAGCAAATACTCTCCCAGAACTGTATTTGTCAACATACCTTTTAGAAAACTCCAATCTTTTTTGTGTCTGTCTTTCAGAAGTGGGGTCTGCCTGGGTCTTTTATCAGGAAAGTCACTTTTAGTCAGACAGTGAAGGATGTTGTGACTTAACATTGTTGTACCTTGATTTTGGAGGTCAGCCAGCTTTTTTTTGAAATTTCCTTGGTTCATTCTCTACCTTTCAAACTATCCTTCTATTTAATCTGGGGTCAATTTTTCTCTAGCAGCTTTGTCCTGGGAGATGGGCTACAGTCCCATGGACCTCAAATTATGGTCACAGGAACATTAAGCTCCTTGGAGATGTTTTACCATGCTTGGCTATCACCATCCTCTTTTCCTCCTTTGACAATTCTCTGCTTTGTTTTCTGTGATCAATGTTCATTGTGCTGCACAAAATGCTCTAGAGAGTACTTTTCTCCATCCAGATAGGCTGAGTGACTGATTATGAGATACCTATGATACCAATTAAATGTTCTGCTTGAGAGATCACTAAAGACCAGTTATATCTTTACTTCTAGGGCAGACATGTCAAACTCGCGATGTCATGTGACATCGTGCGACGTATCAGAGCTTTTTCTCCATTGCCGGCAGTGGGGTGGGCGCGGTTTGCTTGTGATGCATCTGGCCCGTGGGCCGGCAGTTTGACACTCCTGTTCTAGGGGAACCAATAATTAAATCCATGCTATTTTCATTTGCTGATATTTTTTGTAGACGTAAAAAGTAGTCTTGTTTGTTATGTTCATTTCATTAAATTAATTCATTCATCATCACTTTGTGAAAAATGAATCTTTAATAAAAACGAATGCTAGTAATTGATGCTTATAGATTTTGAAATGTGGGCATTTGTTGAGCAGCTGTTATGAAGTAGGCTGTACCTTCCAGTGTACTTGAGAAATTTTGGAATGCTTTTCTAATGCTTATTAGGAATTTGAGAGCCAGTTTGGTGTGTTGGTTAAGGTATCAGCCTAGAAACTGGGAGATTGTGAGTTCTACTCCTGCCTTAGACACAAAACCAGATGAGTAACTTTGGCCAGTCATTTTCTCTCAGCCCTAGGAAGGAGGGAATGGCAAACCTCTTCTGAAAAACCTTGCCAGGAAAACTTCAGCGACTTTTCTAGGCAGTCTCCACAACAGAACCAAAGAAAAAAAAAATTAAGAGTTCAGGATCCTATTTAGCCAATAAAATTACAGTTTAGTTGCTGACATAATTTCTATTTAAAATGCATAAATGATGGGATATGTTACCTTATTAATCTGAAGTAAACGTCAGGGTATTCTTGATAATTTCTTATCCTAAAGAGTAAATTGATGTCTGGGAAAAAGTGGTATAAAGAATTCTGATCCAGCCCTCCCTATTTGAATAAAGGCTGTTTTCAATAGCAACTTCCAGACTGTGGGATATTTTATTTTCTACAATCCATCAGGATCTTTCTATTAGAGCTTTTCTTTTTCTTTTTTTTTGCCAACTGATTTAAGGTTTCCTGTTTGTCTTGCCAAGCAGATGGTTTTTATATGACACATGCTCCTTTTATGTTTTAGCTTCTTCTGATTTGGGACCTGTTACTTTATTTTTTTCATGAGA